GTGCCTGCGGCATGTGAGGTTAAACTCTTTCTTGTGAGGCGTAGGTAATGATGATATAGTATGTCCGGCAGTGTTTTACTGCAAATTTTTACGGAGGACACGTGACTGAGTAGGTTCATGCGGGGTTTAAATTTGTCTGGACAATGCGGACAGTTAAAACGATGGAAACTAACCTATTTTATTGCTTCAAGCACTGACTTTACAGTGTCTGGAATGGATTCGCGATTGAGCGACTGGGCGTAAGCGTGAGGTAAATTAATGATGGAAATGAGGGCAGGTGGAGGTCGGATCCACATAACTGACGCTGGGGACAATGATGGTAGTTTCGGTGTTTGGTTGGTCTTTGGAAGTGTTGTTACCGAAGGCGGGAGTAGGAGAGACGGTAGTCGTCGTCGTCGTCGTCGTCGTCGCGGACGTTGTTCATATCGACGACGTCGATTGCGGCGGCGGAGCATCAGTTGCAAGGAAGATGGTCGTTGTGGTGGTTGTCGTAAAGGTGAGGATGGGGCCGTTTTTGAAGGCAGCAGGTGAATTCGCCTGGTCGTTGTTGCATGAGGTTCGTATGTGTCTCACGAGGCTTATCTATGTGGGAAGTTTGTTAACAGCGTGCACATGTTTAGCGAGTTGAATGTGTGAGGTTGAGATGCTGATGAATTAGCTTTGGAAACGATGGTCCGGTTGGCATCTGAGCTTGTTGCTCCTTTCCTCACAGCTGTTATCCAGGTCAGTCGATCCTAGGTGAGGTCCTTCCTGGCCTACGGATTGAGTTGTAGGTGTTTGAGTTTTTCAATGTGTCATCGTAGCGTGTTTCTTGCCCACAGTGTCGTCTAGCATCTCTGGCATCATTGTCATAGAAAAATCGCTTTGAGAGGCGATTATCCTCCGTCCTCGTGAGGCGACCGCTCTAATGCAGTTTGCATAAGCAGGTCATGAATGCAGAGGATTCTGTCCCGTTATAGTACTTATGTGTCACGTTTATCTTACTACGATCTACAGAAACATCTGAGATGGAAATGATTGAACTTCCTGGCTTGATTGACGTATATTGCCCAGGTTTCTGGCCCGTCCAGCTGTGTTGCCAAGACGACAGTTGTGCATATCCTAATTTTTATGTTGATTGTATTCACGGTGATTCCAAACAGAGGCTTGAATCTGGTTGGCTTTCGAGATCTAATGGACCGCCTAGTTTTCAACCTTGATGCGGCATGAGCGGGCTATCTAGATAGGTAAAGTTATGCATTCTCTTGGATGGGGTGCGTCGCATTTCTTTTCAGTTGGCGATTAATACTTACTCACCGTCTTGCCCATTTTGGTGGTCAGCCCGAACTTGACACAGCCGGCGGCGAAAAGGTCCGTGCCCCGTTGTATACCTGGTTCGGTGACGTTGTGTGCGCAGCCCTCCGCCAAGAGCAGACTCTGGACAATAGTTGTAAATAGACGTGCTGGGATCTGCGTGTGATTACTATTGAGAAAATGGCTTTGAGTCTTGTAGACGACAAGGATCTCAAGGCACTCATAACTACAGGTGTCCATCAGCATAACAGTGAAGAGAGTGGAAGCAGGTTTGCAGCTCTGCTCCATTCCATTGGTCACCGAAATTGCTTCTAAGACTGCCCCTTGCGCGGCTAAATAGCTCAGGACAGCCGAATTTATGCATTATTTTTCAGATTGCATTGCAGCTCAGTGTAGGAGTAGTTTTTCAGGCCCACAAAGGCAGTGTAAAGGTGGGACCAAATCTTCTGGCAATCATCTTGCAACTGGCGGGCGGTGAAGTTCATTTCGGTGTTACCGCAATGCCGTCTGATGACACATGAGGATTATTGGAGAATTCTCTGTCCCAGGTAGCCGTTTGAGAAGGATGCGAGCAAAGCTCTCTCCAGTCACATGGAACAGCGTGATTCCTCTGTAAGAATCACGTAGTTGCCGGTATCATTTCCACTTGAAGAGATTGACGATTCGACCGGATTTGTGTCGGATCTCGATGCTTTTCTGCTGGAGAGCTGCTGGGGTAGCTGCGATTGTTTATTTAAAAGAAGACGAAAGGTCATTGCTAGTTCGCACCCCAGGGAGCCGGCCTTCTTCTCGTCACTGTCTGCGTACCCTTGAATTTCCTCATTCGCGCTGTCCGTCAAAGTATCCTGTATCTCACACAGTCTTTGCTGCATCAAGCGACGACATCTGAAGTAGACAGCTTTGCTTACGTTGGTACGCCAGTTGATGTATGTTTTGTGAAATCTTTTCTTATCGGAAACCAGATCGTGCATTC